TTCTTTTCCAATGTTACCATATAAAGGACACTTATAGAAAAAAATCGCCCACGGCCTAGTCATGGCCAAAGTGTAAACCATTGATGTACCTGTAGTTGTCTGAGATGATGAAAGCTGTCGGTGATGTTAAATAGTTATTTACTTCATTTAGAGTTCGAACTTTATCAGTAAATAACTGTGGTTTAGAACTGAGATATTCTAAACAAGACACAACAAGATTGTATCATAAAGAACGCATCAACCTGATGTTGTCATTGTTCACCTTTCGATGTAGAAATAACCTTTTTCTTCCAACTCCCATAGCTTGTTTGTGAAAATGTAAGTGTACTTGCTGAAATGATTATTTATCGATGAAGGAGAGATAGTCAATTTTTCCCCGGGTTTTGACAAAACATGAACGTTATATTTGAATTATTTTAAATGTACAAAAGTCCTGCGTTTGGTACTTTAGATTTTTTTGTGGAAATTACTTCAAACAGCTAAACGGTTTTACAAAAGAGCTACCCACAAGTGTATAGAATCTCGATAGGTTAATTTACAATTTATAATTAGATTTTTTAAACGTCGTTTTAAATGATGTCAAATGAAAGGATTGTTCAGAGTAAACCAATTGTAAACTATTATTTGAGTAAAATCATAGGAAATGACGAATAAGTAATTAAATTACATTCTTAAGTTGTCTTGGCTTTCTAACGCCTGGGGCGAAAAGTGTAGCTATTCAAAATAGGTGTAGGATTCTACCAAAAAGAAGGAGATGGGGGACTAAATGTATTGACCACATAATTCAATTAATTCAAAGAATTTACACACACACAAACAGAAAAATTCCCCATCAGAATACTTAAGACACTAAACTTGTAGTGACGAACAAGCAACTTTAAAAGGAATTTAGAATTCGACATTCCAATAAAGTCTGTTACTACTTGAAAAAACACATATTGTAAATATTATTTTGGATAATAAATGTCACAATTTAATGGTAAATAAACCAATATTGAAAGGCCAATGATAAAATAAAAAGGTATTTATATATTTCACAAGAGAGTCTCTTAGATACAAATTGTTGAATAGAAATAAGGTTTTATCACATAGCTATTCAATACAAGGTCATATTTTAAAATTATGTGAAAATATATTGACATTGACATAAAAATTTTACAGTAATAAGCGATAATGAACTATTGGTGACGTTACACGGTACTAAAGTGTTCATTCCTACTATTCATATAATGTGCTCGAGTTTCGTGATTTTCCATTGAATTAAAACTATTTGGCCTATATCGCCGTCGTTATTTACCTGACCCATTTAAGTAAGATTATTAAAGCATCATATCGTAAATATCGTTAACCATCACCGAAACTAATGTTGTACATATCTAATATAGGAAATGTACTTGCAAATTGCTGAAACCTATAAAAGTGTAGTATGGATTGTATTGTTTATATAAAAAAACAATGTACACGACATGGACAGGTGCGTGACCAAACATTATCATGCCTCCGAAGATTAAAAATCACAATGAAATAACTCTCCAGTAATGTGAATGTGTTTAGCAATAATGATCATACCAAACCCTACTTATATGAATCATGTCGCTATTTCATTTCATCTGAGAAAGATGTTATTTAAAAAAAATCAGATATACCTATGTACACATCCTTCGTCAGGAAACCATGTCATGACGTAAATTCCAGTAAATCTAGTGATAATGCATTCGGGGGTCACAGAGGACAAATAATTGGCTATCAACGCTCATCGTTACTACTTTATATAAAAATGTTATACACGGTGAACGTAAACCTTCAAACACATGACATTTCCTATCTCGAAATGCAAATATGTAAATAAATCTTTAGTTATTGTGAAAAAGGGGGACAACACAAGTAAATAGCACCTTTCAAAACAAATTAGGAATCCTATTTACCACAGAATGTTAATTCCGACCATTTCATGCTGGTTGGCACGACAGAAGTAACCCCGCGTTATCGCGTTGGCGGGGTAGTTGTGTCGCCACCATCATAGAACCAAATAATTAAATATTACAAAATGATTCAAATGTGTTGGCTTTATCACGGAAATCAATGGAGTATACTTGGAAAATTCATACCGTTGAGTGGTAAATCGTTGCAAGCTTAAAGATCAGAATTAGGGTTTGAAAAAATACAACCTTTTCTAAAGTGTCAACACACTGAAATGTCATAACCGGAACACTGTAGAATGACACTCCTGACAATCACATTATAGTGGCTAAACCATTCTTCAGTAGAAGGTACCTAGGTCTGTTACATGACAGGGTAGTTCTACAGCTTTCTTTATTAGTGATTTGTTTATGTATATATATCGAATAGTTATGTAGGTCATTCTACTAAGGAATGCTGGGAACCCTTTGGCAAATATGATTTATCGCAGCTGCCCCTAGATGTGAGATAAAGCCAGGGTTGGCTGGTTAGGTGGTCCCCCTTGGCTTGGTCAGTTTCTAGGTAAGATGTACATTTGATATTTAGTTCCGTGTCTCATAAAATCTGCATGTCATTCATTCTATCTTTTTCGCTTCGGTTTCATTACCTGAGTGTTAACGGACACTGGCATATAAAACATTTTTGTATTGAGGTCTGCATATATAAAAATAAAATTTCCGGGTAGTCTGTGCTAAAAATAGATGCTATTTAAAGAACATCTGTTCCATTATTTGGGTTTTATGTACATTTCACATTGTGTTTCATCTCCGAGCATTCCTATCACGATGAAATAGCCCTTGACAATTGCTCTTATTTCTCCAATTACGAATTCCTCGGAACACTTTTATACATGTATGCAAGAAACACGAGCTTGAATTGTATTTTAACAGAGTTCTTCTCCTGTGTTGATATATTTTACCCGATTAATTAAATCTGCCTGATTATTCTAATTCATTTTGACTTTGGGACATTAGAGTATAGCATGACTTACCTTTTTATGTTCCCCGTCAATATTTGATTATGGAATCAATCAGTTTTTACGTATCCAGTGTCTACATTTTTTGTGTCTCCTGTCAGTATTTTGGTGTCTCCTGTCAGTATTTTGGTGTCTCCTGTCAACATTTTGGTGTCTCCTGTCAGTATTTTAATACTGCATCGCTCACTGTTTTGTTGTCTCGTCAACATTTCGGTATCACCTGTCAGCATTAAAATCTGACATCACTAAAATTTTGTCGTGCCCAGTCATCATTTTGGTGCCTCCTGTCAACATTAAAATTTGGCATCACTAACTTTTTATGGTGCTTCTACGTAGGGTACCTACTTACATTTTCTTCCCTGTTACTATAACTTTGACAATGAACCAATAACGAGCATTGTTTATTTTGATTCACAAAATCAATATGTTTTGTATATGGCGATGTAAAACGTTGCCTTTGTCTGGTGTATACTGGACTTTATCTAGTCAACATGCTACAGAATGTCCAGCCTTCTAGGATGGACCAGGCCTAATATATGCAGTTGAAATGTCACTAGCCCAGACCCAATGTCATTGTATTGTATTTACCACTTCTGGTTATCTATGTGTATGTGTCACAACATCCATACTCCATAATACAATGTTTTATATGTCATTATGGCATGCATGTCACAATAAGATGACGTCATGAAGGGAATCCCTGGAAAAGTCCGTGCCTATTTATTTATTTCATTAGGAAGGGATTCCCAGTAAATAACACCCGTCTATTGTTGTCACGTCATTTAGATTCGTGCCCTTTTTAAGTGTTTTGTGGACAGACTTGTACCGGCCCTAGGGGTTATAACTGATCACACTTACTGCGATATAATAGGACATTGTTGAGTACAATTCTATACACGTGTTGTTAGCTTAATGCAATCGATTGCGAATAAACATACAATCAGTTTGGGGGGGAAAAACTCCAAAGTAGCTTAGTTATCCATACTCTATTACTGGAGCAAATGCCAAGATCACGTGTGGCATTCAAGCGTTTTTTGATAGTCAGCATCAATATCCCCAAAAGGCTTGTAACCCTGTAACCTGTACCGATGTAATTATACATGAAAATGATATTCTATCTTGAAATTCAAGAAAAATGTTAATTATACAAACTACTCATCACACTATCAACCTCAAACTGCTCTGTCTATTGACCCGGAATATAGGGAAGATAAAAACCCCGGTGTTGCTGTCTTATATAAACCTGTAACTGTCATAGCCAACACATAACGATCAGTACATTGACGGGTATACATCATACAATGGATTTCGTTACCAGTACAGTTTCATCGGTTAGTACTTGTATCACATTTCTTCAGATTCTATAAATTATAAGGAATATTTATGTTCGCCATTTTCTTATTTCCATCCAAATTATTTGAAAACAAAATAGATCGATAAATTACGTCAAAATATCAATCAAAGACGAAAAAAATTTAAATTCCAAAACAGGTTCGATAGACTTTGATGCGAGTTTTTAAAGAGAATAATATTGAAAACCGAAATGTTTGTTAATTAAGTTTATATAAGAAAGAATCGAAGTGGACCAACATTGGCGTGTCCTTATTCGGCACAACATATATAGCCAAACCATGTATCTTTTGGTTATCTAAGAGACTTTTCACCACATACTATTCGCAATTTAAGTATTTGATGCAAACAATCATATTTTCTAAAGGGATTTTTTTGTGGCCAACGTGATGGTAATGCATAAATCAAAAGAACAAAAGTTGACATAACATAGATAAAACCATTACTTTTCCTTTTACAGGTCATATTTCACCTTTGAGCATTATCGATACTAAAGTTTTATTATTTTTGTTCAAATATTGATGTAAAAAGTTCGAAAAAGAGTGTACTTTTGTTTATTCAAGCATATCTGCGAACATCGTAAATGTTCATTTAATATGCCCGTGAACACTATAGTCACTACTAGTATCAAATTTACGAGAAATAATGGAGTATACAAGTGACAGGTCGACAACAGAATCTGTAAAACGAATATGGTTTTGTACCCTGTGATAAGATGTCGTACCGTGTGGTGAGCAATCAAGTTTAACATTTAGCATTTAAACTTCAATGAATGAGAGGTAGAGCGGCTTATTGTGGAGATATCTATAGGAACAGGTATAGATACTCTCCTTAATATGCAGTTCTATTTCATCGTTTGACACTTGTCAGAAAGCAACAAGTTTTCTGACTAACAAAAGCAAAGGAGAGAACTGCATGCCAACAGAACCATCCATGGTAAGTTAATACAAATTAGTTAAAATTGCAGCCTTTTGTTGCCTGTACATTTGAACAACATGGAAGCCGATGCATTTGTGCAAATTTTGCGACACGTTTTAAGACATTCATAATGAGACAATCATTCTAATGTCGAGTGTCAAGAAGAATTTGTGTAGATATTGATTTCCACAAATGGTATTGCAGTCAGTCAGTTGTTATTCTAACCAATCTGTGTGTTTATCTTTAATTTCAGACATTATCGATTTATCTCGGTTTTTATCTTCACAGAATTTCACCGTTACGACGCTAACTACATCATTTCCTGTCTGTTACCCTGATTATCCGGCAATGGACTGGCTGTACCTCGTGAACGGACTGGTCGCACTTGTTGCCGTGATTTGTTTCTACATGATCTTGTCAGGCGACAGCGATATATTACTTCAACTAAAGGAAAGATTCGGAAAATCTCCAGGTACGTGTTTTAGTTAGAATGTCATTATAATTGCTACATGTTTATTCTCCTTTGTCTCCTGTGGTTAGAGTAACAGGCCAGAATACACCTTATCATGCGTGATGTTTTCAAATGATATTTCCTTCCTTTATCGTGAAAATGACATCGTAAACATATAAGTATCAATAAATGAAATGACTCTGGACAAACTCCTCACGTATCTATTATGTTTTGTATTTAGAATGTTTGGCTGAAAAAGTGGTTTGGATCACTGGAGCCTCCAGTGGGATCGGAGAAGCTCTTGCTTATGAACTTGCACGTGCACGATGTCGTCTGGTGTTATCTGCAAGGCGGGAAAATGAGCTTGAACGTGTGAAAAAAGAATGCATCCGTAAGCTTTTTCTACATAACATTTCCATCAAAATTTATCTCCATTCTTTATCAGTCTATTGCCAGTACAGCGTAATTAGGAAATTGGTGTGTTATTTCAGGACCAATACCAAATAAACTCTTTTCATTTGCAATATACTTTATAGTGAATCAATGTTTTCTAAGAAAGTTAGTACCATTACATTTTATCATTCTAGGCATTGGTGGTCTCAGTCAAGACGATGTTTTAGTATTAAAACTTGACATAAAGGCATATTCGGACCACGAACCTGCTGTTCAACAAGTCTTAAAGACGTTTCAAAAGGTATGTATTGTCGTGTTATGTACACCATATCATAGTAATCACCACGCATGACGTATCCGGTGAAGTTTTACACAACGGAGATACTAGTATTAATAATGGTAATTGTGGTCAGTTTTATCTGCACTAAATTTTAACACATCGTACGGTAGGTTCCTAGTGCTAAACCTGTGTGTCTACGATTAAGAAAACGTAGTGTCATCACAGACATCCTATCGGGCCATGATGTAAAATGGACCTTTTTACTAAATATGAAAAATATTTTCATAAACAATTACATTTCATTTCATCATTTGTGAGAGTGGGGTTTTACTTCATTAGCAGAACGCAATAATAAATTTAACAATTTTACTTGAGACTTGCATATACAAATGTAAATTTTTAAAATACATTCCATTACAACAGATAGATATATTGGTCAACAACGCTGGACGCACTAACAAAGGCGAGTGGACAACTACCTGCCTGGCTGTTGACCTGGAGCTGCTGGCTGTCAACGTTTTAGGGCCGGTATCCCTAACACGAGCCGTACTCCCTCATATGATGTCTAGGAACCAAGGCCACATTGTGGTAACCAGTAGTGTGGCTGGCAAACTAGGTATGTTTTCTGAATTAAAACACAAATCTTGGTTACCTGTGGTGTGACTGGTAAACTAAGCGCCATTTCTGTCCTAAATCACGGGACCACATCGTCGTCACCTTACGTGGTAAGATGTATAAAACATTTTGGGTGTCAGTTGTGGATAGTAAAGTGGCTACATGGAGACGGTCATCGATGAAGCAGAAGACTTTTTTTCCGGAACATGTTGTCTTATTCTCTTTAAGCTTTTTAAAGACTATCCCTGTAATCTCTTCTTTGTTCACACTATGTCTTAGTTTCGTCGAATTTGAGTTCTAATGAAGATTGTGTTGATGTCGCATTGAATATTGCTGTGGCAGGTAAACTATGTAAGTTGTGTAGGACATTGCACTACAAGTATTTAAACCGGTTAGCTAAGTAAGCTTCTAAAACACACCGTATTTACCATTATTGCGACAGATAAACTATTTTAGTTTTCTGAACCAGAATTTAATAATATCACACACCATGTGGTAGTTAAACTAGGTAATCTGTCTGTGTGAGGTTAACTAGGTGGGACGTCAGTGGTAGTGTATCTACAAGCATTGTGCTGATAACATAAGACGAATATGTTATTCAACATAGACATGCATAGTTATATTTAGACGAAAAGTAAGATATAGTACACTCTGCAAGCAGGATCTTTTTGCACTCATCCTTCACATTGCCTCTTTGACCTTTTCAATTCGTAAAAAATGATGCTGATATACGTACTGGTGTCGTCTTAATGACTCCTATAAACTTAAATTTTAAGCGCTTATTACCGTCTGATTCACCTGCTACCTGTATATGTGTATATATTTCATAGTGTATATATTTTGTTTGTATTACGTATATAGCTCGTGTTTATCTTGATCGTGTGACGCTAGGTACTCCTCCATACAAGTGCATGACGTATTTATATACTTATATAACTATATACAATTTATCCTATATTTAAACCCACTATTTTCATGAAGTGTCTGATGACATGTTTGTAATTAGGTGTCTGATGCTTGCAGGTGCAGCATTGTATGCTGGCTCATATTTTGGATCAAAACACGCACTTCAGGTAAAATATACGTCATTACTTTTACATGCATTACTTGTTCCATTAAATATTAATTTGCTTTTATTAGCTATGTAGTGATATTGATGTGAGGTCAATGTACGTTTGATGCAGGGTAATAAAATGTTAGATGGTAAAGCTCTTATTGAATATATTCACTTTAATCACCTTATCTTTAAACTATCTATTGCGCAAGCGTAGTCAAAATACAGCAGAACATTAAAGATCCCCTTAAAGATTGACCTCTTGGGTATATGACTGTACAAATTCCCAATCTGGTGATAACAGGTTCTCAACAGGACACCCATACCATTATCAATCAATATAGTTACTCTGAGTTACGCGACAAACACTACATTATGACCGCCTACTAAGAACAAAGCCTTATCCATAAAAAATTCTGCACATGATTAGATTCTTTTGTCTACAATATATATATTTAGGGATTATAGAATCATCTTTGTATATTTCCTCGCCATATATGAAACCCTTAGGACCTCCAATTAAAAGGCTAAATACGATACTTTATGGTATGCTTTAATTTAGTAAAGGAATTTTAAGAAAAAGGAACAAAGGCGTAGTATTAAAATATCACTTGCAAATTATATTTGTGACAAAATGTATGTGACTGTGTAATGTCTGTCTTCTCTGTGATTTGTTAATGCTCAGCCATGTTATATTCATTAGGGCTGGTTTGATTCTCTAAGACCAGAAGTATATAGTAAGAATATAGCCGTCACTTCCGTTTGCCCAGGACCTATCTATACCAACCTATTACAGGATGCATTAAAAGAAAAAGAAGGGGAGGTAAGTGATTACACAGTATCGATACCACTGTAGAAGATTGATGTCTAATATTTCTTCGATGATCATTGTAACATATCAACGCATCTTCAGTATTTTATAAATTGTTACATTTCCAACTATTGTAACACGAGCACACAAAAACATGTATATATAATCAGGTAGTAGAAATTAAAAGTTTCAGATTAGAGTGATCTGCTATTCATTATAGAAGATAGTTGTCTGATTCAAATCTTTATGTCTTTATAAAGGTTTTACAAGGTAGAATGGATCCTAATAAAAATCGGATGTCCTCGGCGAGATGTGCTCGATTGATGTCTGTGGCCATTGCAAATCGTTGCGATGAAGTATGGATCTCGACAACTTCTGGTCTAGTCTCCCTTTATCTAAACCAGTATTTCCCTGGCGTTTTCAAATGGTAAGTAGCAATACAACTTTTCTCCTCATAATTGATATCAAGGTGATAATTCTATTGAATCATATACGTAATCACTAACCAGGTCAATACTTTTTATAAAAAGACTAATCACTGTAATTTAGGATAATAGATGAGAATGCATATGAATTTTGCTTAATAAGAAGTATCAATTCTCTTCCATAAACTTATTCAGTAGCTAATTGTTTCTGTTATTTTTACAGGCTCATCAAAATCTTTTCAAATAAATTAATGGCTGATATTGACAATGAATTAAATACAAACGAGGAAAAACAGACCAAAACAAACTGAAGAAACATATAGTGACAAACATGACGAATACTAAACGAGAGAATGAAAAAAATCCATCAATGTGTAATTTCGCGCTGTTAATTCATAATGTTTTAAGCATTCCGATCACAGGTATCGGTAGTTTTCCTCAGCTTCATTAGCAATTGAGCAGTATTTTTGCCTAGCGAATGTTTGTCCAGACACTCAGGAATATTTATTCAGCCTAGAAACCGGTGATAATTGCGTCGAATAATCATACAGAACTCATAGGAAATTCTAATCAATGACAAATTATCAAAGAGAGAGAGAGACAGAGAGAGACACACAGAGAGAGAGACACGGAGAGAGAGAGAGAGAGAGAGTAAGAGAGAGAGAGGTGTAAAGTTTGCTACGAATCCTTTCACAATGAATCTGATCGATAATTTAGTTATTGTGACGTTAGATTAAACTGCTTTGTAATCATCCGCCTGTCATGATACCCAGTCCTGAATCTACAGTATTTGCGGTTGATTATTCAGTTGCCTTTCAAGTGGTTGTGATATTGTGTGTGAGAGTATGTGTGTGTATATATAGAAATGTGAATGTGTTTAATGTGTATTATATGTGCGTCGAGAGATTCATAATTTGTGAATGATTTGCATTTATTTATATAAACCTGAATCTGTTTGCTACGGTAAATGTTCGCTTGATCCTTTGTATGCAGAATGATCGGAACTAAAGTTGTGAGTACTTAAGTGTTGTATGATATAATTAAACACACGGTTGACTGTATTGTTCCAAGCTTAAACAAATTTCTTTTGTCTTTAAATCTAACAGTAAGATGAGCTTTTACATGTATTATTTTTGTTGTTAAATTGTTATTATTATATTAATTGCTATACCGTTGCGTTTATCATTTACTAATTTTACACTGTTAATAAACGTTAAATGATAAAGTATGTCATATCTCCATGCATGTCATTTGTGAATCCGTTCTTGTGTATATGTATCAGTAACGCCCCACCCCCATCCAACAAACCCTAAACCCTCTCCTCCTAAACCCCACAGTTGGTACAACATAAAACAAACACAATATGCATTCCATTTTTATCTCTCTTTTTGTTGGAGAGGGCGCGTTACGTGTGATCTATGTCTGTCCTGTCACGTCACGTCCCGAATCAATCTTAAGTGCCTCTCTACTCCGCAGTATCATAACACCAAGTTATACAGCATTATGATAGTCATCGGTCATTGTTAAAGGACAAAAAGGTCAAGTATATATATCGTGATATATTAAAATGTTTGTTTTTAGACATATTTCCCAACATCAAGTCAAGACACAACAGAAACATATTTCCTGTTTATGAAAAAAATGTTGAACTTAAGTCGGCCAATCCCTGACACCATCTAGATAACTATCATCGCTGAGTCTAACGCCAGTCCTGTGGCTTGTCGGATCCTTAAATGCCGCTCTGTAAACATTAAGAGGTTGCGGAGGGATGACGGAGGTTCCGACGTCACTCGGCGAGACTGGCGACGTCCGACCTATCAGACTACGAGTAGACAATGACGACCCTGGCCGCTTCTGAGGCTGTCGAGTATAGCCTCCCCTGGAAATGAAAAATACCCTGAACTGTACAGAAATAATGATTATATGAAAAGCAATATAAATACATATCAATAAAGAGCAATTATAGCACTTTGTTTCGATCGATATGATTATCCAACAGTAACCAATATCGAAACATGTATGTGCATCTAATGGAACTAATGTTTAATCTAATGGAAAGCTTAAGGTCCCCATCGTTTTGATTGTGACTTCACAAATTCGTGACATTATTTGCATTTTGACGTAACCAAAGAAGGGACATTGCGAGAGAATGTCCCCATTCTAGGTTTTATATCAGTGTAACTAAGATGTGAAAATAATCTCAAGTCCCTCCTTAATATTACAATATAAAATCAGTTAAATCTTTCTAACATGATTTTATTCCAAATTACCTGTCATGACACTTGGGCCTGATAAGGTAGTGCCATAATGCGGCCATGATAGCTCCAACTGCCGTACCAATGGGAAATCCTATCAATCCAGCTACTAAATCCTCCTTGTCCAGTCCATTTGTCCGAGCCTCGGGAACTGGAACTGGAACCTTAACTGGTTTTCCGTCGACGTTACACATACAGTACGATTCTTCTGGAGAGGAGCATCCCTTCGGAAATACACATTTAGGTTTTAACAAGTGAATTTAATTTCATTGGAATTAAATATTTGGTACCTTTGAAACGAGAGCAAAATCTGAACAAAAGATAGATTTACACGAAGACCCAAGGAATGTGCAATGATACTGATTACTGAAAGGCAAGTGTCTTCTACTACATCGACGATACCAATCATAGAAATCGTGGTCAGTCCAAGTACGTGATGTTATGTTCTAATGACTAAAACGACTAGGTAAACTATGTTACTAACTCGCACTGCACACGTCCAACTTCGTTTCGCAAACACAAATAAAATATACCAAATGTTATCATTATGATTACCATCTTGTAAACCCGTCAGACTGAGAAAGTAATATGTTACTATCCCGAAATGGACAGTTTACAATAAGAAAGTAGAAATCGTACAATTTGATCTAATAACTCTTCCAAAGAAAGCACCTATGGTCAAAAACATAAAACACTTTCAATATGTCTTTAATCTCAATGGAAAGGATACAATTTTTCACAATACATTCAATTTGCCCCAATTTATTAATTCTTTGTGAATTTGGGAATCATATCCTCTCGACAATGTCTAGTGACAACAAATCATGTATCAAGGTTCTGAGCTTTACCTTGTTTTGAGGTCTCTCGCAGTTGAGTCCTAGATAATTTCCTGGACAATCACAAGAATAGCTGCTGCCGTGTCTGGTACATGCCCCTCCATTTAAACATGGATTAGGATGACAATAGTCGATTTCTAGAAAAAAAATCTATTATTAGCTTCGAACCATTCCAGATCAGGTTTGTCTCTACAAGTTGAACAATGAAGCAGTAGTAGAAAACAATGAAACACGGATACAACCTTTGACAAAGATATATTAAACACTGGAGGAATCGATGGTTCTGTTAACATCGAAAAAATTACCGTTTTAAAAATACCTGTTTGACACGTGGTTCCTGTGTATTTAACCGGACAACGACAAAGAAATCCCCCAACCATGTCTTCGCACGTGCCGCCGTTCTGACAAGGGAGAGAACTGCACTCATCTTGTTCTATAATAATTGAAGTCATTTGCTTAGGTACGTCATCTTGTTTATGTAATTGATTGATTGACTATTTAGTTGTCGAGAATGTTACTATGTAGAGGTATACCTACCGTATTGGCATGCGTTTCCCATGTATCCACTTAAACAAGTGCAGTTGAAGCCAGCTGGCGAGGACATACACGTGCCAAAGTTCTGACATGAATTGATTGCACAATTATCAGTATCTGGTAACAATAAAGACATTGCTTTTAATCAAAATCTGAACAAAATATAAGATGGCAAGGCATTGCACTCATTCTCAAAGCAAATTAATAACACAATCTAATATAAGAATACCATGCATAATAATTACATACCTTGGCACTGCCTTCCAATGAAGCCAGATGGACAAAAGCAAACAAATTCCGAAATACGATTCCAACAGGTACCGCCGTTAAGACAAGGATTGCTGGAGCACTCGTCTATATCTGTAAGTAATTCAGGATATAATTGGTGAAAATGTCATTCTGAACATCGCTAACTAGATGCGACAAATATTTATATGTGTACTCATAATGATATCACATGTAGTTACAGCAATATATGCGCTGCTAAACAGTAAATCTTTGACATCAATCATTACTTTGCAACTCTAAACAAGAGCAGAGGAGAGAAAATGAGAGAAAATGAAAATGGATGTAAAAGGAGAGATCGTCACATAAACATAAGGCAGCAATAGTATAAACACATAGAATGTTACAGGAAAAGACAAATAGTCGAAGGCAATAACAACCTTGTGAGGTCTTCAAAGTTATGCAGGTTACCAACATCCAAGCACATACATAATACACATACATTCGCATCTTTCGAAAAACCCTTTCCTTCAATCCATTTTTGGTAAGAGAGATCTTGATAGATCATATTGATATTGCATGACACTCAAAAGCTGCCTCTCTTATGCAAACATGTCTTTGGAGTTAAATTACTATGACTATTGGGGTGCTAACAGAGTAGGAATAGACAGACGGACGACCGCAGACAGAAGAACGGACAAAAATAGAGAAAAAAAAACGTAAAATACATTACTCAGATGATGAGGCTATAATCACAGACGATTACATACATAATGACAGCCTCGAAGTTCGCCGTCCGCTAGAGACATTGGTTACCTGTGTCACATGTTCTACCCGTGAAACCAGTTGGACAGCTACATTTGTACGTGTCCAGATCCAGGGAGCAGGTTCCATTGTTAAGACAAGGTCCACTGTCACATGGATGGACGGCTGGAACGATAACAATAAATATAGCCATATATAGATAGGATTATATGGAAACACATTCTCATCAACGTTGTTCTTGATATTTGTACTTCTTAGAAGGAATTTAGTCTGTAAATGTCCATTTTCATTTCTCTCAATGTTTTTAAAACAGAATCAAAATATGTTTTTGGACAAAAAACTTTTTTTTTTAATACACACTGTATTGTGTTATAAAATGGAAAGAACTGAGTGTTGTTGTTTAGAAAAGAGAACCATACCTTCAGCAACGAAAGTAAAACAGCGCTGGGGACTCGTCATGCTGAAAAGATGTAAACGTGAAAAGTAAAACAGATTTTCTATTAAGATGTTGTTGACCATGTAAGGATTCCCGTCCTTATTCTCATCGCGTTTAACTCTCGCGATGATCTAGGCAGATATCCACACATATGATTTTTGAAAACTGGATTAAACTTTCATGAATTGAAAGGAAGAACGAAGCAAATAATAAGTTATAATTTGCAAAAGAAACATGCAATATAAAGTACGTAAGCAATACCAGTTTTTGATGCCAGGATTTTATACAATGTCATTCATACCCGTCGCATTCAAATGTCATCACCCCAGTTCAATCTTCTAAGGGATTATTCTCAAAATTTGTACAAAAGTTACCCGATTACAATACCCTGGCTAAAAAGATGTTTCTGGACCCACGATAAAGGCCAAGGTCACTGTTGTCATTTATAGAAATGTGGGAACAGGGATAATCACGTCTACAGACATGTTCTAGTTTCCAATCAGTTACTGTAAGATTGACATACATTAGCTGTTGTATGTTAAATAACGAATTTTTATGATGATAAAAACTGTTTCATTTTCCCAACCGTTATCCTTACTGTGTAAGACAATAACTCATTATTTATGCAGATAAACTTAAAATCAACTGCACCTCAAATTTTTAGCATGTTGGTGTTGGTATATATTTTGAATATTAAAATAAATGTTTTTGTAGCTTATTGTAAACTTACTTTCAAAATATCGTATATTGTGAAGATAAGACTGTACAAAACACACGCGAGTAAATAACACCTTTAAATACAAATGTAAGTTCACTAGAGTTGAGCCAAACAATGAAATAAACTGCATCATACAACTATTTCGTCTATTTAGGACTCGTCAGAGATGCTAAAGACATTAATTCTTGGAGTTTGAAGGTCACTGAGTAAACTGGTCAAAATAAATGTGAAGAAGCACATGGGGAGGTGCACCAACCCGAAATTTAATAGGCTTATATAAGTCCTCTCCCAAAATAGTAACATACACAAGGATACAAACATGGACATAGTATAACACATTATATATAATGTGTTATACTAATGTGTTAATGGAATCAACTTCAATAGATTAAATCTTAAATATTTGCCTTTTCTTCTTATTTCACTTCAATTTTTGATAAAGGTATAATTAAATGCAGAGTGAATAAATAAGATTGCTTAGAGTTACTCGTTTAAATTAATAAACATCTTATGAAACATAATTTCCTCACCGAAACAGATACAGACAAATTATTATAATATAATTTTACGTTGTCTGAACCATGACACTGGGTGTTGTTTTATATGTGGCTGTGTTATCTTTGTGACCCATCAGGACAGGTAGAAGGATGGATAGATAGGTGTAATAGGACAACCCTTGTTTATATACAGAACTTACTTATTTGTGTCGACGGCTTGGAAACAAAATATATTTTCTCCAAATTGACTTTGGTGAGGCTTCCATGACAACTCGCTATACCATACATCTGTTCGATTTATGTCGAGGTTCAATGGCGACAAAGTGACGCCATATGGCGTGGAAACGATGAACTCTTTTATTCTGTAACAAACAATGATTTCTGTATCGTGTAGCTGGTAAATCTGGAACACCATATTAAGTGTACTTCATAAATTTTAACAAAGTCCACAAAATGTTATTTTCCACCAGTTTACTTGTCTTCCCAAGAGAGTATATCAATATTAAGGATTATATAAAGAGTGGGGTGTAGTCTGGAGTAGGATTGGTACATTGAGTGGGGTATACTGTGGTGTGGGGTCAGTACATGGCTATGGATTATAACATATTGTGGATTGGTTTATGGAGATGGGATTGGTATGTGGTCTTGGATTTGATTTGACCATGGTGTGAAGATTGGTACATGGAGCGGGGTTGACACAGGGAGAGGGATTGTAACATGGATTGGGATTGTAACATGTTGTGGGGATTTGTTTATGAAGTGAAATCGGTACACGGAGTGGGGTGAAACTGGTACAAGGAACGAGATCAAATATCAGGTAAGTAATTTATAAATGGATCAAAGTGGTGTATTGCATGGGAGTATCATAGGGAAACATTTTGATTGAAGGATCGGGATGGATAAGAGAGATGGGAATGATATCAGGATTGGAATGGACATGTTTGAAGAATGGTTACAAGCTTTGCATTTGTACTTTCTTCATAAATGTTGTGAACTAAAAGCCAAGTGTAATACAATTACATCAAAATCGACTTTATCAAGATTGTAGTAATTAACAAATACCTATTAAAAACGCAATTACCTTATGTATGGTTTCGAACTCATTGCAAACAGTCTTAAGACCAGCGTGTCATTTGACGGGACCAGGATAGTTTTCCCGTGTAATGGTGTTGGTGGAACAATCGATGGAGCGATATTGCACGGAGACGGTGAGGTAAACTTGATCGTGTGCACAACAAACTGCAAAAGATGTACTGTTAATACAGGTTATGTCTATAATTGTTCTGGGTACACTTTCGTTAGAATTTTTCCATCACGGAAGATGTTTTCAGATAAAAATTGTTTTTGATTGAAGTATTTTAGGAAATAGACAATTTTCTTGTTAACTCAATTAATTATGGTTATGAATAAAGGGACTTATCTATTACTAACAGAAGAGAATAATTACTTGTTTACCTGAGGTACAAAACAATGCGTCTTGGTCTATAGCAGGCAGAATACAAAAAGTGTTAGATAAGCTTATCCATACAGGCCAAAACGGTGTTATTTCAGGAATATATAACAATACATCTATTTATTTATCAATTTAAGCATTAAGCATAATGAAATTAATAACTCTCTCTGGAACGGTAAAGTTGACAAAATTAAAAGGGATGTTATTATCGGAAAACATTGTAAGGGTGGGTTCAAAATGCTTCTTTTCAGATCATTCATAAACTCTTTAAACCTTACATGGATTAGGAGGTTATTTACACAGTAGCAGGAGCATGGCAAGCAGATTATGATTCTTATATCAATCTCCTTGCAAACTGTGTGTCAGAGTATATTTTCTTTTGTTGTGAAAAATGTAAGAATACGTTTTGAAAAGATCTTCACTAATCTTGGAAGAAAATGTTCAGGCCAAAAATATGTTTATAATATGCCTATTCGGTTTAATGAGAGAATCAAGATAGATAAAAAAATGTATTTTACAAAGATGGGTATAAAAAGAGAGTGATAGTCATTAAAGATATGATAAAGAGTAATGGTATGTTTTTTAGAATTCAAACAGATATACCGTATTAGAACAAAATTCCTATAATATCAGGGTAACACAGCTACCAAGGAATCATGAAGCCAACATGACTACGATAAGTTTGATAAATAGTTTTATTTTTATTTCAGAAATTTCCAAATATTTTTCTTTCAATAAATAAAGGGTTCGAAAGATTTCTATAACATATTAATCAAACCTGAAGTTATTGCAACTGGTTGTGAAAAAATGGAACGAACGTTTCAAATTGGATGAAAATGACTGGAATATTCCTGCTTCCCTTTTATGAAACACATAACAACAAAATCGTGTCCCAAATTCAGGATTAATCATCGTGATCATCATATTCTGACAACAAATTAATTTTTATTGAAAGCATGTCTAACAAATACTCTTTACTGTATTTCATGAAAAAACATATGAAATTGCGACAAAGTTCAAAATTTACTCCTAAATTTCGGAAACCTCTTTCAACTATTTGTTTATTCCATTTCATTTTTATAAAAAATAAACCTCCTTTCTTTTTGGTGTAGTTGATCATAATGTAATATGAAGCTCTGAAAAATACATGAAAATAAACATACACAGTTAAAAAATACATACCTAGATGCAAGGGAGATAATCACCTCAAACCTTAATCAAAAATTCGAATTTACTATATTTTCATCTACCACAGTCTGTCCTTTTAATAATTTTTAATTTTGCATAGGAATTCAAATGACTAAATTGGGCATTTCATTACCTACACCTTTCTCAGTGTGAACATTTTTTTACATGCAACCAGCATTGATATTTGTATGTATTCCTCATCATAACAGGCAAATATTCATTTCAACTTATTTCACATATTTATCTTTACACTCTTCCTAACAAAACCTTATCTGTGTATGTAGTTCATTCTGGATGTCATTGTCACACTTCTTCTGGCGTTGTTAACTGTCTCTATCGTGGACGATTTAGTTGCACGTTTGAAAACCGTAAGATATCAGGAGCATGTGAATTACGTTATTCAAAAGGGGAACTGTACGAAAGAAAAGCTGATGTTCCACTGAATCAATTGTAAGGGTAAATACGGGTTTTTTTTTAAAGGGTAAGTATAGTTTAAACTGTACTAATTAATTTGAATTCTTATGATCTCAGTATGTCATCACCTGTAGAGGGACGGTACTGAGAACACTTGTCCTTAGTGTGAGATTCTTGTCCAGAAAAATGTCCGTTTTTGGTAAATCTTCTACCATCATCAGCACTTTATACCAGCCATTCTCGACAAAACCGGAGAGAACATCAGGCTCTAGCTCTATCCGACAGGGTGACTGTACATAAGAACATATTTGCATGTTTAGGCTTGGAATTCACGATTAAGATCTATGGAAATCATTATAGCACAAAATGAAATTAAATGAAAAGGCTTGTAGGGTTAAAAGTGTAACCTACTAACCCAGTTATGGCTGTAAATAGTGCGAACAATGGCATTCTCCATTGATGGAATATAATGAAATGTAGGTCAATCCTGACAAATGTAAATGGATGGCATTCTGTCACGGAACATTTTCGTCAGGTTGGTTATGTCAATAGAATAAAAGTTGAGTGTGATGTTTCGATGACTACACGGTCTTTTTTTCATCAGACAAATGACCAGTATGAAGCTTACTAGCACTGACATGCGTATAGTGAAAGAGTTGGTAAGAAATCAACCGACCTTTTTTCGGCTGTACTATAATCCTGTGATAATGTAGAGTCAGGTCGAAAATAGTGTGTCGACATCGTAAACAAATATTGTAATTGATGGTCCTAGTTATGGTCTTTTTTCAGTGTTAGAAGTCTTCCTCAATGCACTTTACTGGGGTTTTTTTACTGATCATCTATCAACAATAATGACCAAAATTCTGTTATGTATATATATATTATGAAAAACCGTTTTATGTCAGTCTTTAGTCTGTGCGTGCTGAATATTGTCCTTCTTTTGTCCTTGACAAGATTGTTTTCTATTCTGTGCCTTTAATCAACAACTATGATATATGTATTATTATATACAAACAGTTAATGTTATTTGATATATGTATTCAACATGACAAAGCTATGATTGGTAGATTTAGTAAAAAATAATCATAAAATATCCAACCTTGGGATATGATAATATTATCTATCAATCCGAATGTTCTGATTTCTCAACAAACCTTGTGTATAGAAAATAAAAGCATTCATTATCCTGATAGAAGACATTAATACGCATTTTATATTGCCATAATCTATATTGACATATGCACATTTCTGAGCTTCATGTTGAATTCATTTCTTTATAAATGTTACGTAGAATCAGGCACCTTTCGATACCTTTTTAGATAAAAATTGGCAATATTTGACTTTAAGCTAATACGTTTTTCATTCAACATGAAAATCAAAGTGTTTTAAAATAGTTTTAGAATAAGAAAAATGTAGTCCACGACATTAAACTGAAATACCATGATAGTAGATAAAGTTCTGTGCGATATCTACAAGCGGAAACCTATTATCAAATTCAATTTGATTGGGTTAAGTCGAGTCAGCAACAAAAAAAACATCATGTCAACAGAATCATAATCCAAATTCAAATTCAGTTAAACTTGGACGAAATGTAAACAAGCAAATTTACATGGAGTGAATAAGACCAGATGAAGAGTGTTTTGCTTCATCGACTGTAAAATTTATCACTTTCGTGGGGAATTTATTTTCGTTGATATCGTGGGTTCGAATGACCTACGAATTTACCTGTCCGCGAACTGAAAATTAACATAAGAGGATTTATTGAGTTATATCTATCCATGAAAGCAAGTAAAGACGATTTTTCTCGAGTATGATGTCGATATTGTGTTTGACGAGATCATATGAAATATTATACAATATGTATACGATATTTTAAATACCGCAAAATCATCATCAGTTTTTTTTTCAGAAAAAAAAGTATTTCATGGACTGATATCTTGGATAAATATATGTAGCGATGCTAGTGCATTGAAACGTTAAGAATCATGACATTATATGTTAAACTTTCAATACTGTATGACAGTTACTCCTCCACAAACGCAAATAACCGCACTAGGTTAACTATGGGTACTATATCTTTATCTGTCCACTACCAATGACAAACTCTGTTCACGATGTAACACGAGAAAGTTTAAACGTTTGAAGACACAATAGTTTAGAAATACTTTATTGATACAAGTTTATTGAGAAATTAAATAACTAATAGATGTTTCTTTCAATATTTCATATTAAATTAGATTTATATATATATATTGAATTTTGATACATGTATTTCCTTCGCTGAATTGACAAACAATTTCTGGCGTCACTGTCAGTCAAGCATAAGTGACAATACGACGATATAAACATACCTGTTTTAGTGTACCCGCTGGTAAACCAAGACAATCCGTGCCGCATTCTGCACCAACTGCCCACCGACACACCGTTACGTCATCATCCGGGTCCGCTATTGGTATAGTTATTGCGCTTTTACATCCAAATGGAACCCTTTAAATAGAAACAGCGGTATCTAAATTGATAAATTTTCAATCTTCAGTATTACAGGTGGTAGACAATGCTTGTGGACTCTTAGTCCGCGCCATTTGTCGTAACCATGCCACGTTTTAATTTATTTGAATAAGGACGCGGTTCAAATTATACGTACCGGACGTTCTACTGAAATAATCATACAAAAGTTACGAAAATGGAATTATGGGACTAGTGCATTTGGCTCAATTGTAACTAACACCATTGAAATGTCATATCCACCTGTGTGTCTTTTGTTCAACCATGTGTTGACGATTATTTTTATTCATAAAGTTTTGATTCTTATCCTCGCTGTTGTAGTATAAAAACGCAACACATTATTAGATGAAAGATAGTATGTAGCTTCGAACTTACTGATAGATTGGCATACTGGCGGTCAGTGGACTGGAGTTCGGCTGACCAGTATCACTTCGTATTCTCAAATCGCCGGTGGTCTGAAGGTGGAAATCTCCAGACTGCCCATAGCTCACATTCAGCCATGTTCGTCCAGTGTAACTAAAGAGAACACAATCCAGTTCCAAACAGCGAAGTTTTATAATCGGTCAGTCACATCAGTTCTGACCACAATCAGTTGTAGAAAGAGAAATAGTTTTTCTGCTACACGTAATGTAATACCACTGTAAAGATCGATAATGTTATAGTACGAGAGCTGTGTTATGTGCTGTTTTTCGACTGAATTATTCTTGAGATTTGAATACATGAAAACCTGTAAAAGATCCAATATTTGACAGAATATATATAAATCAATTTTCTTTACTACTCATCTCTCGAATGAAATGAAAGAAAAGTATCGCTCAAAGTGAAGATATTTTGCATTTCATTTTAGAAAGCTAATCACTTAACGTACAAAAAGTATATATATAAAGTCTACACTTGACAAACCCAACCTCCAACCCTCCACCCTCAACCTCCCCTCCCCCCCTTACCCCCCAAAAAAATTTAAAAAAGGAAACATTACAAAAAAAACATTAGTTCACTTACGCCACCGTAAAAGGATCAGTCGTTGGAATTGTGTATTTAAAGTTATCCTGGCCCTGTTCCCATGCTTCTACAAGGTCTATTGAACTACAAACATAGTTGACGTCCGTAATGTTTCGAACGGAGGGACATCCTCTTGAACACTCCCAGAAGTCGTTTGGCAATTGTGTAACAGATTTGCCAATGAGTCCTTTGTTACACCCGGGGCCCTTTCCTATACCATACGCAAGTCGGAAACGGAAATTAACCGGCTGAAATACAAATTTGAGGCGATCTGTTTGAAAAAGTGTTTTCGTATAGTCGTAATGATAGTTACCGTGTACTTTGTCCCATTATGTGATTCTATTACAGTTAGCAGAAATAACTATTTTCTTAAAAGTGACATATAAGGACTCCGGCTGCTATCAACAGTCGAGAATCAGACAGGTTGCGTAAAGTTGCGTAAATTTGTCTTCAGAATAGCCATATACTTGATTTAGAAAGACAAACATCTTATTGTATATATTGTTTTTCCACAATGACATGACAACATTACTGAAATTCGGTATGATATATATAATAATTTCTTTGCGAGATACAAATCATGGTTTTCAAAATATAATGGCTGATGTTTTGTGTACATGCATTTTGAGTGACTCTCGCGAGGTAACAATAAAAATTGAATTTGTGTTTTAATACATTGGCCAAATATCACACAATAATGATATCATAAAAAATACAGGAAGCATATGAGTGAAGTCCACTGAAGGAGAGTTCCATGTAATCTTTAATATATACATTTGTAATTCTATAAAACTCACCGTGTTGGCACCAGTTACTCTCCAACTGATAGTTCCTCCTCTAAAATGGTCACACAACACTGGGACTGTGTTCAATATCAATCCAAGAAAGTTGAAACACACTAGGAAAAAATGCCTCCTGTCCTGCTTTCCTACCATGGTGTATTGTTAAAATGTTACACCAACTGAACATTTCTGTTCATAATTCCACATATGATAAAGCCGTTGGCAAAGAAAACTATTTCGTTCGTGATATTTCGTTCGTGAAAAATATCAATTTTTAAAAGTATGTTTACTGTATCAAGCGGGGACTTTTATGTTTGATTTCTGTCAGGAGACAATTCTGATAAATCCACGTATTTGGTCGGAGGTCGCTTTGAAGGTAATTTATCACATATAAATCAAGCGCTTGTGATATGGTTTCAAGCTAATATAGATTGGACTGTTTACTCGTCTTCTTGTATATATCAGGAAGCTTCAAAATCACGATCGTTCTGTAAATAATGCTGATGGCACGGTGCGAACCAATATCCTACTTTTATCACATTGCAGTGACAGGCTACACGCTATCAAACAGGTATATTACCGCTATTATTGAAAGATAGGAACCAACACAGTGAAATGTACAAACAACAAAGTTGACTCGAATTATGGTGAGGGTTGTTAAGTGTAAAATTCTATAGGAAGTTAGATTTTTGCATGAAGTCTTACGTCATGAATTGAAGTCGTAACGAATCATAAATTTCAAGTCTCAATCATGAAAATTATCGTTCGTGACTCGAAATAGGCGAAGTAAGGCGGTCAGTAAAATATGGTAATCAGTGTCGTTGTCTAACATTGCCGATAACAATAAATAAAAAATCTTACCATGAGCTTCACTCTACAAAAATTGTAATTTTAAAGTTTATCGATGGTTCTTAGTTTGTACATGTTCTCAGATTTAATAGTTCACGATGTTATTTACAAAATACATACATCTATCTTGAATCGGCGATTAGAGCAAGTTAAAATACGACAGTTCGGCCTTATGTAGCCAATGTAAATATTTACACGTGTAACACAGTATAACATTGAATATGAAATTGATATATTACTTTGGGCAAATACATTTATGAATTAAGCGTTAGAAAGAGAAATCCAATGAATATGTGGCTGTGCTTTATTCTCATTTCTAAATTAGTTCACTGTAAGGTGACAAAAAGAATAAGTTTGTGCATCATTCATAAGAATACATGTTACTGTTGATGAAATCGTTTGTCCTACCATCCCTAATATTGGATGTCACGAAGTCGGCATGTAACATCCAAAGACATAGCAAAATAATTGTAATATGTACCTTTCTGAATATCTCTGCTTATATTTGCTCATTTGTGATGATGTGTGCTTACAGTGTGACGTATAGATAATGTTGTGTGTATTTTTGTAACAATGTGTTTAGAAACAGAACTTTATATAACAACCAGGCCCCGCTTGTATTAAACATCTCAACTTGAGATTTCCTCAAGTTTAGATTTTCCTCTGCTGATATCTCCTTAAAAACGGCTTGTAAAAAATTTTCTCAAGGAACAGGAGGAGACATCGGCTAGGATGTCCTGAAATTCCCTGAGGAATTTTCATACAAGATATTTTCAAGGAGATATTAGCTGAGGAAAATCTGGGCTTGAGGAAATCTGAAATTGAGATATTTTATACAAGTGGGGCCTGGGCACGTTATCAGCTCACCTAAACTTAATAACAGAGGCCGCATCAGCTTCATTCTCTGCTTATTCGCTAGATATTTCTTTCCAAAGAACGGCGGGTCAAATACTGTAAAGTGAAAATTACGTCTACAGACAAATGAAAGTACCAAGGATGAAAGTGTGACGCTGAGCAAATCTCTGGTTGACAATGTCTTCGTTGAGTTTGTTACTAAGATCACTCAATATACTGCTCCTCTCTTGGTTGACATGATTTCGTTTCACAGGGCAGAATTTGCAGAATACCTATAAAATCATAGACCGTGTCATGTCCTTCAATTTCACTTTTAGACGTATAGTTGACGAATTGGAATGACAAGAGATTAATCAACCATGTAAATTATATATATCCACTAGAATTATAAACTGAAACCAGCAGGAACGGTTTTTCACCCAACCGTATGATAAACACGATGCTTTCTGCTTCCCTATCTTGAATATCTATGCTTCCACAAGTTCTGGTGGTGTCGTAAACAATATTCGCATATTGTCTAATTGAATAGACCAAGATGTCGTCGGTGAAGCAGGGAACGTTTACTCATCGGGAACAACTGTTTGTTAACCTTGTTTTATTGGTATCCGTCTAAATCTTTGTAATTCAAATTACGATTGTGTTAATTACTACTCCAGATGACCCTAGCTGTTCAAGGGGCGATAAAAACTAGTAAACAAGCAAACAGTATCTAGGTGACAATTAGAAAAAGCCAATGGAGAATATTTCCATGTTTGCTCACTGTTGTACATATACTATATGCGCACCATGTCAATAGATAATGATGATTTTACTAATCACGAGTAACGGTGAGTTAGTTTTAATTCAGTGAATCAATGTTTAACGTTTTCCGTATACTTAGGATAGCCATTCAAGGACGACAAAACTGTATACATCAGACTCTTTTTCATTATTCACTCTAACCGGTAAGTTGTATATCATCATCTGGGAACGTGCATTGCTTGTATTTACATAGTGGATATATGAAATAGAAGACGCTTACCTTTACGGAACGCTTGGTTCTATTCTTTTAATACTAATCAGGTGGTCTCCGTTTACGATTTCTTATTATCTCTTCACATGTCGCCGTAGTTTCACCTAATTTCAGGTCGAATTAAGATTCTGTTGGCATATCAGACTTTCTTTTTCTGTCTTAACGTCTCTGACCATGCAAGGTATCAAATGAACACTTGAGAAGCCTTACACGTAGATGGTTTTGAATGTATTTCGGGGATGACTCGGTACATTTTCTGTTGACATACTCGGTCTCTCGTCTTGAGAAAAGAACCAAATTAATAATATATAAAAAGAAAATAACTGAAATCAACATATCCGCCTGCATAATGTAACATTGTTGTTGATTGGTAAGCGGTTAAGCACACACCATAACATTTCACTCCAATTTGTCTTGTTCATGTTTGTCGGGAAATATCGGTAGAAGATGGTATCCATACTTAGTGGTAATATATGGATACGGTATAGGCCATCCAGACAAAAATATCAAAGAACTTATACTGAATGAAATTTAATAGATGTAAAATATGAAATTCTTCTACAATTTTTTTTTATGTGACTGTCCAGGTGATACATCTGCGAATGCTGCAAACCATTCCATCCATTGGACACCATTACCTAACAACATAATAAAACAAATACTGAAACGGAAAATTAAAAAAATGCATTAAAACACATTTTCCTACCAACATAGATTTAACAGTAACAACTCGATATTGCATAATGTTTCAAAGACATATTTTATGGGTAAAAAAGGCACCTTACATGACTGGAAAAAATCAACAAAAGTGGGCGTGTGCCAGTTGTAAATTAGAAGATACACCTGCAAGAGCTACAGTACCATTAAAATACAAGAAAACAAACGCCACCAGGCAGTGAAAATAATCGACCAGCAAAACGTTTGTTGTAGTGAGTCAAAGTGTCGTTACTGAACGCGACGCGTAATGCATTCAAATTAACTGGATGAATAGTAAAAGAACTTACGATAGAAAGGTCTACATTCTTAAAGCATTGTCTTCACTCTTCTTTCTCTCGGTAATGGAGACACGACTAACGCTAATGCGTGGAAGCGATACATTCTCCAAGATAACTGACTTTTGATGCTTTTTGCACTTTCGTTTGTTCTTGTTCCACAATATTTCGTCTTCATAACCTACATTCACACGTAGTGGGAACTCTTCCAAATATTCTGTGGAATGGTCACCCCGTCCGACCAGCGCCATTTGTATATATTTTCTCTCTTCCAATAGTGTCATGCTTCCGTTTAATACAACAGCTTTCAAATGTAGCTGTATTTTGTTATGGTGAGAGTTTTGTTGCCTTAAATATGGAAAAGAACTCTTCGTTTCTGATGCTTCGATTGTCCTGGCAGAAGCTGGACGCTGTCTCTCTTTGAGGTGTGGCTCTGCAATAGATTCGGACGATACGCTTGATAAATAGTGTACCTTGCTTACGTTTCTGTCTTGTCTGTGATTCTATATCCCCATTTATCTTATCATTATTGAAATGGAAATGCATGAATAATTACATAATTTCTGTGCTGACAGTTTAGAGGCATTTCAGTTAAAGATGTATGAAGTAGAACTAGAACTTCAGTTAGACAATATTCACAAGACAGTTCAGATGATACACTAATACATAATGTAGGCACAAACATTAAGTTGCATCTTCATACAAGTTAAACCATGGAACCAAACCATAAACCATGGCAGCATGTTCGACTAAATGGAATATAGCTGCTGCAAACGTAGATCTCGGGCTTGAAATAACGAATACCATCGGAAAGAGATTATTGAGTGTAGAAAATAGAACTGACAGAAATACGTTAAGGATAATTCTCTGTCGAGTTTAACTCATGATTTGAAGTATTGTAATTAGTTAGATGACTTACTGTCGACTGTGTCGATTGCAGGAAGGAATCCAACTTTTTTCCCGTGGTTCTCTATCTCAGTCTCCAAAGTCGGACAACACGGAGTGGCACTGAGGTCTTTGACAAGTTCGTTCCTACCCCGGAATATTCGTGTAACTCCTGTCTTTGAACACTTGTCTTTCATTGTTCGTCTCCGAGAGTTATATTGACATACAAGGGACCGGTGTCGATCGTAGTTTCTTTCCATGATTTCTGTTGCTGTTGCGAATTAGTTGGTTAATTGGTAGCTATGATATTTGGATGACGTCTCTGCGACTATGACGTCATTATATTGTGTATGTCCCCCATCAGGAGAACGTCACAATAATCTGATCACTTCTAAAACTCCTTTATTACTTGTTATCATTATGGAACGTATAAAAATGTAAATCTACGTAAAAGTTACCGTGATAATTGAATCATTCCTCGAACACCATGAGTAATTACATATTGACTGTTAAATAGCTCCAAGTCAACCACTGACAGACATCGTTATCCTTTACTCGTAGGGTAATATAGGTTCATCCTACAATATAAACATTTTTTTGATACCTTGTACAATACATGTAAATAAGTTCTCATGAAATCAATAAAACATCTAACTTTTTCTAACTAACGTTCACAGGCCCCTACTCCCTAGGAATAGGGGTCAGATATAGGTACCTGTAGTCAAGAGGAGACTCTATCGTCATAGTTACTTTGTAATGATTTTTTTGTAAGCAGAAATATTTGGGGCTTGTGGAAAACCGTCATGGCACGTTTTGTCTTATGTATGAACTCGAAATATCATGATCGCAGAATAAGTAGGTGTGTATTTAAACTTTTACTCTTCTTTTCTGGATTCCATGAAGAGACAAATAAAGATATATAATGAAGTTCGGTCTAGTAGTACCTAGGAGACAGATTATGTTGAAAACAGACTTTGTGATTTTCTAGGGACAGTTTTTATCATAAGACTGACCATCATTTAACTTCTGACCCATGAATGTTACGGCTAATTAATTTTTGATAATACGAGACAGTTACTTTCTGATAGATAAATTGCAAAAAAATCTTTATCTATAGTTTAATTTTGGCATATTTCAAAAACTCGTTACCAATTAGATAAGACATTAGACAAGGTACAAAGCGTCAATGAATTACTGGGAAAGCATACTTCATAGTTTAGAATGAAAATTTTGTAGGGTTGTGTTTATTTACAAATTATTTCAGTTGTTTTAAAATATTAATTCTATTGTATATCTTATATATTGTTCCTCCATTTTTACAATAAAATTGGCGCTAGCGTGTACTTAATTACAAAAGTTGTTAAAATGATTGACCATGATCCACTTTCAACGTCACAGAGGTCATCTATATTAAAACAAAAAAGGTTTGTAGTCTTTATTATGTTTTGATGAAAGGGTCTTAAGTTTGTTCAAATGTATGACCTTATTCAACATTCAATGTCAAGACTCGAAAGTTTTTTAATCTTTATAAACAACTTCTGAATAACCAAAGAACCGTGGGTTTGCGTTATACTTATCTTATTTCAAACCTACTAGAAAGATAAGCATGACTTATTAGTATATATAAAATAAAAATTAAAGATTCTTGAATGTATTCTTCCACCGAAATACATCTCTTCATCAACCTTCTTGTATCCTTTACATGTGAGCTATACTGACATGTTGGGCATCTTGTTTATTCAAGAAAAAATACAAATAAAAATATTCTGGGAATAATGTCATTCATCATTTTTGTAATATTTTATTTCTTTGTCAAATAGTAGTAAGATTTGTTTTATATAGCATCAAATTTCGAAATTGGTTTTTCAAAATCTTGTCTCAGTCAGTTTTGCACATTTCAATATTTGTACGTTATTACTATTCTGCTTTTAGATATACGAATATGAAACGTTCTAAAAAAAATCCGGATTATAACCGGAAACTGCTTTTTGTTTACATTTTAGGAATGGCCGCCTCCATGATTTGACATTGTGAACGTCGGAGATTACTTAACCAATTACATCATGAACAAGTTGAAACTGTCATCAATTTCACAGAATTTCAACAGATTCAGAAGCAGATATAGAATATTTCTTGATGGATTACCTTTTCTGGTACGGACATAATGAAGAAAACAGTTAAGCCTATTATGTAAACAGAAACTAGAGCACTAGCAAATCTACTTGTATTGCTAGATTTGCCGGTGCTCCAGTACCTGTTTACATTTCAAAGAAAATTGTTTTGCATTCATCGTATGTCACCGTAGGTACAATTTATGAAGGCCAACTTAAACACAATATTTTGAAAATGCACACGCACAAAAGCGACTCTTAAAAGTGATTGAACGACCCTTAAAACAAAAGCGATTGGGGATGTTTATAGAACCGGTAGAACTGCGATTAATATTAATTCAAAACGATACAGCAGTTATTTAATTAACTCAGTTTATATCTTCTCCTTCTAAGGGGATAATGACTTCCATCACAATTTAGGATTTTGGTCATGCACTGTAAAACTTTTTATTTTAATATTCACGTTTTATCCCTTTCTTGAGTAAAACTGTATACATGAATTTTAGGAAGTCTTATTGTTGAAGAAGGTGCTGGATATGTATATTACAGGGATAGCATTTTTGAAAGAGTCCACGGTTTCTGATTAAATGACAGTTTGTGGAAAAGTGTTCCATTGAATGATTGTGTATGGATAGAACAAGAATTTGTAGGAATCTTTGCTTGTTTGAATTTGTCTGAAGGAGAAACCATTGTGTTGGCTGGAACAAGTTCTAGAATAGGCTGGGGTGAGGATGTTGTGAGGATGTTGTGAGGGTAGATTGCTACATGGCTAATGGTCTATGAAGATGATAAGTAAGGTGAGATTTTAGACAATTAGCGTATATTAATTCCTGTCAGAACTGATTGCAGGGGTTGCAATAAGATCAATGTTAGAACATTGGTTTAAGTCTTGCATGGCCTCAGGTGATGATCTATGGTGCATGGTTTAATATTCCAAAATGATGGTGATTTGTGCTTCTCAGCTGAGAAACCGAAAAGTCAATGTTGTTGTGGTTCTGTCATTGGGAAAACACTTTACTGCTCTGGGTGGCCTGACCTGGAAAGAAATGTTAACAGATTGTAAATATCTTTTATGATTTATGATAGCTAGTAGCTAGATATGTGAAGCAAGAAGACAGGATCTTGGAAAAAAATCCAGACCCAAGAACTGAATAGAAATATGATCATGAAGTTCACTATAGAGCCTGTAACTTTCTTCGGTGTCCAGCACCTCAAATACATCTTTGGTGCAGAATTATTACACTTGTAGAGGTATACATATTTCATACAATACACATGTAATATGCAGACAGTGAGCTTGACAAGTATCTTCATATATTGTGGGCAAACCGATAGAATACTTAGTATATCCAGAACCCATTTTAACGCCTTGTGACATCCTTTTTCACATAGATATGGGGGACAAATTTCTACAAAGTATGGAGGGATAACTGTTCATTACAAAAGATGTAGTTATTTTTTTTAATAAGATTCAGGTATTTATAGATACGCAACAGTACCTGTATATGTGTAATTACTGTTTTGATCAGGCTGCACTGCAGGCACAAATATATGTATAAACAAACCATTTTAAAATATAAATTTATTTAGTTTTTATTTTTACTGTATATTTATTTTGCAATCATAAATTAATTGAAACTTATATTTTACAAAGGTCTTTATATACATGTACACCTTTTAAATATACATTTACATCTTTTATTAAGTTCCTTTAAAAATATCAGATTATGTGCTGATACTGACTTATTATGTTTATGGTGATACTCAGTACTGATCTGATAGTTGATTTTTATCATGTTATACAATAAACTTCTGTTAAACTGTGCTAATAAGTTGAAATAGTAAACAGTTACAGAGTATTTTGTGATATCTTGCAGATGTCATTGTTTGTTGGTGCCGTCTTCCTGTCAAGAATTACAAAGAAACGATTTGTTAAGGACAATGTGGTTTGTATAAATTGTTACTGTACATTTATGCTATAGAAGTCTTAGATTTTGTCATGAAATGATTGCTGTAAATACATAAAGAATACATGGTTGGTGTCTTAAAATATAAACTGGACTTTGGCAAGGGTGAAAAAAAAAGGCTGCTTAAGTCTTCCTGTCCAGAGCTGCTGAGAAACTGACCATGTATTTTATTTATCCTACAACACTTATTGAGAATTCAGACTTTCAAAACTTCAGTGGTTTGTAAGGAGCCTATTCAACACTTATTTACATGATGTGAGGTTGAGATCTACCTGATGATGCATGTCAAAAGAATTGCTCTATGTGGAAATATAGTTCAAACTTTCAGTGGATATAAATGACAATTTGACAATGATTTTGTATATAAACTTGTTTGTTACATCAACAAAAAAGATAATTTATTTATGAACAGTTATTTATATTTTTACCAGATGGTGGGCTGAAAATATAATTATATATTGATATATTTAAACCAACCTATTTCTAGGTCCGTGGTCCATTTTGGGACTGATCTAAAAAACAAAAACATGGACAGATGGCCATTTTGGATTTTGACTTTGAAAGTTTGTTGAGATGAACTGGTTGAGATCAAAGTGTAGATTTTGTGATTTGAAATCATTACTAGCTGTGATCTGAGAGTAGATGCAAGATTTACCAGTTCAGATCAGAGTGAAGATTCGAGACAATTACTGGATCAGATCAGAACGTAAATTTGATATGTACTGGCTAAGACCAGAGTGTAGATTTGAGATATACAAAGAACATCCATGTACCTTGTATTTACAAATTACATTATAACATAGTTCAGACTAAAGCCGGAGTGAGCGGACATCCCGCTTCTCATTTAGTAGACAAAGAGGGGTCTATTTATACCAAATGTTTGACACATAGGTTCAATGTAGCAGCCTAAGTAATAATCTGGTTGTAAGATGACATAATCATTGGTTTTTGAGTGGTCTTACATGACCAATGTATATATATACTTAGAAAGTTGAAGAGGTGTACCTCAAGGCATATGACAGTTATTTGAATGGACATGTGAATGTAATATTTGAAATTCTAAAAAAAGAGATTTAACTAAAATGAATGATATAAACATATTTATATTTCATTTTGAGAACCCTCTGTTGTAGTTCTTTTGTGGTAGATGATGTAAAATTATTACTAATTTAAATCATTTTATTACAAAGGGACAAATTTTAATATGTTTATATAATTTACTCTAGTTCTTTAATGTTCTTTTGTAATAAAATAATTTCAAATTAGTAATGATTTGACATCATCTACCACAAACGGATTTCAACATAGGGTTCAATGGGTCAGATCAGAGTATACATTGGGATACTTGTTCAAATCAGGTAATAGAGTTTATATAAACCATTTTCTTATTTAAAAATCCCTGTTTTCAATGGTGTGTCATGTGGAACACACAATTACTTGTTAAAATCTGATCATTGATGGAAAAGTATATATTTTTATAAAAGAAAATTCTGCTCCAGATTATGCCCACTAAAGAGGAGATGTTAAAAGCTGGTATTGACATTGATTCAGATTTAGCTTCTGCGGAGTTGGATGATGAATTAAAGGTTGGTATAGAAAACACTAGGAATAGAAGTTAATACATAGGTTATCAACATTTCATTTCCATACAGGAAAGAATTTTTCTGTTGAAATCTGTGTAATACATGAATATGTGTAGTACAAACTTGTAAATAATTTGCACTTTAGTTTAAACCAGAATTATTGAGTTTTCTGTGATTTTAGTTTGAATAAAACATATTTGATATGGAAAGATACTTATAACACACCACTTGTTAAGAAAATTTTCATAGAAATGACAGAAACCACACTTTAAGAGTATGTTGATTATGCACAAATAATATCATTAGTATGTAGAAACATCAGATAATTACCACATGTTGTGTCTGGTTTTATATTCTTATGTTAAAGTGACTTTATTAAGAAAACAAAACTGAAATTAAATATTTGATAGTGAACTATCACCAGTTAAGATAGAGGGTCACACAAAAGTTTAGTATTTGATAGTGAACTATCACCAGTTAAGATAGAGGGTCACACAAAAGTTTAGTATTTGATAGTGAACTATCACCAGTTAAGATAGAGGGTCACACAAAAGTTAAGTATTTAATAGTGAACTATCACCAGTAAAGATAGAACATCATGCAAAAGTTAAGTATTTAATAGTGAACTATCACCAGTAAAGATAGAACATCATGCAAAAGTTAAGTATTTGATAGTGAACTATCACCAGTAAAGATAGAGGTCACACAAAAGTTAAGTATTTGATAGTGAACTATCACCAGTTAAGATAGAGGGTCACACAAAAGTTAAGTATTTAATAGTGAACTATCACCAGTTAAGATAGAGGGTCACACAAAAGTTAAGTATTTGATAGTGAACTATCACCAGTTAAGATAGAGGGTCACACAAAAGTTAAGTATTTGATAGTAAACTATCACCAGTTAAGATTGAGGGTCACACAAAAGTTAAGTATTTGATAGTGAACTATCACCAGTAAAGATAGAACATCATGCAAAAGTTAAGTATTTAATAGTGGGCTTTTGCCAGTAAATGTAACGAGGTTGATGCTTAAGTTTAGAATTTGATAGTGAACTATCACTAGTAACAGTAAGAAAAACAAAGTTTACTGTTTGATTGTGGGCTTTCACAACCAAAATTAAACCAGTAAAATTGAGGGAAACTATTTAGAAAATTACACCTTGATACTGGACTAACAGCAGTAAAGTAAGGGAATTAAACAGAAGTTTACAGCTTGATACTGGGTTATCACCAGTAAAGTAAGGGAACTAAACAGAAGTTTACAGCTTGATACTGGACTATCACCAGTAAGGTAAGGGAACTAAACAGAAGTTTACAGCTCGATACTGGACTATCAGCAGTAAAGTAAGGGAACTAAACAGAAGTTTACAGCTTGATACTGGACTATCACCAGTAAGGTAAGGGAACTAAACAGAAGTTTACAGCTTGATACTGGACTATCACCAGTAAAGTAAGGGAACTAAACAGAAGTTTACTATTTGATACTGGACTATCAGTAGTAAGGTAAGGGAACTAAACAGAAGTTTACAGCTTGATACTGGACTATCACCAGTAAGGTAAGGGAACTAAACAGAAGTTTACAGCTTGATACTGGACTATCACCAGTAAGGTAAGGGAACTAAACAGAAGTTTACAGCTTGATACTGGACTATCACCAGTAAGGTAAGGGAACTAAACAGAAGTTTACAGCTTGATACTGGACTATCAGCAGTAAGGTAAGGGAACTAAACAGAAGTTTACAGCTTGATACTGGACTATCAGCAGTAAGGTAAGGGAACTAAACAGAAGTTTACAGCTTGATACTGGACTATCAGCAGTAAGGTAAGGGAACTAAACAGAAGTTTACAGCTTGATACTGGACTATCACCAGTAAGGTAAGGGAACTAAACAGAAGTTTACAGCTTGATACTGGACTATCACCAGTAAAGTAAGGGAACTAAACAGAAGTTTACAGCTCGATACTGGACTATCACCAGTAAGGTAAGGGAACTAAACAGAAGTTTACAGCTCGATACTGGACTATCACCAGTAAGGTAAGGGAACTAAACAGAAGTTTACAGCTTGATACTGGAATATCACCAGTAAGGTAAGGGAACTAAACAGAAGTTTACAGCTCGATACTGGACTATCAGCAGTAAGGTAAGGGAACTAAACAGAAGTTTACAGCTCGATACTGGACTATCAGCAGTAAGGTAAGGGAACTAAACAGAAGTTTACAGCTCGATACTGGACTATCAGCAGTAAGGTAAGGGAACTAAACAGAAGTTTACAGCTCGATACTGGACTATCACCAGTAAGGTAAGGGAACTAAACAGAAGTTTACAGCTTGATACTGGACTATCAGCAGTAAGGTAAGGGAACTAAACAGAAGTTTACAGCTTGATACTGGACTATCACCAGTAAGGTAAGGGAACTAAACAGAAGTTTACAGCTTGATACTGGACTATCACCAGTAAGGTAAGGGAACTAAACAGAAGTTTACAGCTTGATACTGGACTATCACCAGTAAGGTAAGGGAACTAAACAGAAGTTTACAGCTTGATACTGGACTATCAGCAGTAAAGTAAGGGAACTAAACAGAAGTTTACAGCTTGATACTGGACTATCAGCAGTAAAGTAAGGGAACTAAACAGAAGTTTACAGCTTGATACTGGACTATCAGCAGTAAGGTAAGGGAACTAAACAGAAGTTTACAGCTTGATACTGGACTATCAGCAGTAAAGTAAGGGAACTAAACAGAAGTTTACAGCTTGATACTGGACTATCACTGGACTATCACCAGTAAGGTAAGGGAACTAAACAGAAGTTTACAGCTTGATACTGGACTATCACTAAACAAATGAGGGAAAAGATATGGAAGTTTACTATTTGTCAGTGGAGAGTCACCATTAAAAATACTGTAACATTATTGCATGGCACAAACAAAACTTATAAAAAACTTAATCGTGTGCTTTTAAAAGGCAGATATCATACATAGATTTATTATTTTGTAACATTCTTCTCTCCTACAGAGGATACAAGCAAATCTTGACACTGAGAGCTGGAAAAATGTGCCTATTAATAAAAAGTGACCTGATCATACTACTTCTAACACGTGCTGTGGTGCAGATGACATTTCAGACAGGACAATCCTTCTGAGAACGAATGAGGACTAAATTCTGTAAAGGATTACCAGTATTGATGATGTGACCATGAAACGGATGCTAACTTCATTCCGTAACTTTTGTTAAAATGCTATCAATTTATTTGATAATGTCAGCTAAGTAATGTCCAATTGATAATGAAGTCAGTATTTCAAAAATGTGTTTTATAGATTGTGTGATTGTTCACCTGTCTGTTGATAAACATTGAATTAAACATAGCTGGTTATTTTCCATGAGGGGCATCAACTTGATAGTAAAATATGAATTTGAATTAGACATATGGAAGAACCCAACATCAAACTGTCTTGATGTCAAAGAATGTGATCATAGTTTCATAACTTCTGGACATTGTTTAGATCAACTTTCTTCTTCCTTTGTTTTTTCCTTGAATACAAAGGAAATTTCATAGTTTTCTGTTGAATATTATATATATTTTATGAGTTTGGCAGAATGTTTATATTTTTCACTTGTCTTTGACAGGAAACTATCGAATATAGCCAAATTTTTTACTCTTTGAAATTTAATTATTTCGCCTTAAACAGAAATTATGAAAGTTTTGACCTTTAAAGTGAACCAACTTTACAGCTTATATGTGAATGAGGTTATATGATAATAACACAATCAACAACCACCACACAACGTATGATGTACAGCTGGGATTATTGCATTTTCATAGAGTTTAATTACTTACAAAAACATTTTACATTATTTATTTAAATTTTGCAAGTGTGTGAACAGTGTGTGTTTTTATTGTCACGTTTTATACATATCTTGGTGGTGTGTGAGAAAATGATGTCAGTTGATATGTGGCACTTTACTATTGGATGTGGGTTTCCTCGATTATAGAATTTTGGCCATTTCTTGGTTCTGACCTAAATACTGCAGGCAGAATGTCAATGTTTATGATGTCAGGACTAACAGGAACCAGTTCCTATATCTCACCCAGCAGATGGTGTCTGAGTTAATTACTTCCACTGAAGTGTGAGATAAAATGTTGAAAATCATCTATTAATTTATCTGATCATTTTGTTGCAGTTTCTGCTGTAGAGGACTGTATCTTATGACCTGGATTTGTCATTTTCTGGGTATATACTGTATAGGAGTTTTTAGATTGGTCAGTTTGTTTTGAAACAAAATCAAGATATTTTTGACTAAAAAAATCATGAATTTTGGCTCTGATTTTCTGTACTGATTTTTTCATGTAGCTTTATTCCATTCTTGGAAATAACTGAAAAGAACTCCTAAATATAGTAACCAGTGTTGTGCTCTACATACGTGGCTTAAATGTTGAACAAGGTTTAAAGATGACCACCATTACCCCTATGAAATAGAAATGAGAATATCTCTACCCTGAGGCTAAGAATCTTACCTTGTTTGACATTTGAAGAACCTAACCTAAAGGTTTTCATTTCATCATGCCTTCCATGGATGGATTTATAAGAAAATGGTTTAAGAGAGATTTATGAATAATGGGTGTATAAGATGTTTGAGGCAAAAAATTGTAAGTTGATTTAGAAGTTTGAATAAAAAATTGTTGAAGTCAATTTTTGACTTTGTTCATTATTTAAGTTTTGTAGTAAATTTCTGTTTTACACACTGTACATGTACACAGTAACAGAGGTTCCCATTAAGAGAATAACACTCTTAAAATTAACTATAGAAACTTTTGTTAGCTCATATCCTGATCTGTAGACTTTTGGATATGCATATTTCTGCCACGTAATTGTGATAACAAACTTCCATAAAATCCAAGATGGCCACCTAGTATCATTATTGTTCTGTTTATCCATTTGGGAAAATAGCTCACATATAATATTTCATCAATTTAAAGTGCTTCTTATGTGCCTCAAGCTGTGATGCTGTTATGCATCTTCTGTGTTGTAATACTCCCTTCTTTTTTCTCATACTCCCTTCTGTGTTTTGGTACTTCCTTTGTGTTGTCCTACTCCCCTCTGTGTTGTGGTGTTTCCTTTGTGTTGGCATACTCCCCTCTGTGTTGTGGTGTTTCCTTTGTGTTGTCATACTCCACTCTGTGTTGTGTTTCCTTTGTGTCGTCATACTCCCCTCTGTGTTGTGTTTCCTTTGTGTTGACATACTCCCCTCTGTGTTGTGTTTCCTTTGTGTTGACATACTCCCCTCTGTGTTGTGTTTCCTTTGTGTTGACATACTCCCCTCTGTGTTGTGGTACTTCCTTTGTGTTGACATACTCCCCTCTGTGTTGTGGTACTTCCTTTGTGTTGGCATACTCCCCTCTGTGTTGTGGTACTTCCTTTGTGTTGGCATACTCCCCTCTGTGTTGTGGTACTTCCTTTGTGTTGGCATACTCCCCTCTGTGTTGTGGTACTTCCTTTGTGTTGGCATACTCCCCTCTGTGTTGTGGTACTTCCTTTGTGTTGGCATACTCCCCTCTGTGTTGTGGTACTTCCTTTGTGTTGGCATACTCCCCTCTGTGTTGTGGTACTTCCTTTGTGTTGGCATACTCCCCTCTGTGTTGTGGTGTTTCCTTTGTGTTGTCATACTCCCCTCTGTGTTGTTTCCTTTGTGTTGTCATACTCCCCTCTGTGTTGTGGTGTTTCCTTTGTGTTGTCATACTCCCCTCTGTGTTGTGGTGTTTCCTTTGTGTTGTCATACTCCCCTCTGTGTTGTGGTTACTTTGTGTTGTCATACTCCACTCTGTGTTGTAGTGTTTCCTTTGTGTTGTCATACTCCCCTCTGTGTTGTGGTTCCTTTGTGTTGTCATACTCCCCTCTGTGTTGTGGTGTTTCCTTTGTGTTGTCATACTCCCCTCTGTGTTGTGGTGCCTTTGTGTTGTCATACTCCCCTCTGTGTTGTGGTGCCTTTGTGTTGTCATACTCCCCTCTGTGTTGTGGTGCCTTTGTGTTGTCATACTCCCCTCTGTGTTGTGGTGTTTCCTTTGTGTTGTCATACTCCCCTCTGTGTTGTGTTTCCTTTGTGTTGTCATACTTCCCTCTGTGTTGTGGTGTTTCCTTTGTGTTGACATACTCCCCTCTGTGTTGTGGTGTTTCCTTTGTGTTGACATACTCCCCTCTGTGTTGTGTTTCCTTTGTGTTGTCATACTCCCCTCTGTGTTGTGGTGTTTCCTTTGTGTTGACATACTCCCCTCTGTGTTGTGGTTCCTTTGTGTTGTCATACTCCCCTCTGTGTTGTGGTGTTTCCTTTGTGTTGTCATACTCCCCTCTGTTGTTTCCTTTGTTGTCATACACACCTCTCTGTTGTGCATTTCCTTTGTGTTGTCATACTCCACTCTGTGTTGTGGTGTTTCCTTTGTGTTGTCATACTCCCCTCTGTGTTGTGGTGTTTCCTTTGTGTTGTCATACTCCCCTCTGTGTTGTGGTGTTTCCTTTGTGTTGACATACTCCCCTCTGTGTTGTGGTGTTTCCTTTGTGTTGTCATACTCCCCTCTGTGTTGTGGTGTTTCCTTTGTGTTGTCATACTCCCCTCTGTGTTGTGGTACTTCCTTTGTGTTGTCATACTCCCCTCTGTGTTGTGGTGCCTTTGTGTTGTCATACTCCCCTCTGTGTTGTGGTACTTCCTTTGTGTTGTCATACTCCCCTCTGTGTTGTGGTACTTCCTTTGTGTTGGCATACTCCCCTCTGTGTTGTGGTACTTCCTTTGTGTTGGCATACTCCCCTCTGTGTTGTGGTGTTTCCTTTGTGTTGTCATACTCCCCTCTGTGTTGTGTTTCCTTTGTGTTGTCATACTCCCCTCTGTGTTGTGGTGTTTCCTTTGTGTTGTCATACTCCCCTCTGTGTTGTGGTGTTTCCTTTGTGTTGTCATACTCCCCTCTGTGTTGTCATACTCCCCTCTGTGTTGTCATACTCCCCTCTGTGTTGTGTTTCCTTTGTGTTGTCATACTCCCCTCTGTGTTGTGGTGCCTTTGTGTTGTCATACTCCCCTCTGTGTTGTGGTGTTTCCTTTGTGTTGTCATACTCCCCTCTGTGTTGTGGTGCCTTTGTGTTGTCATACTCCCCTCTGTGTTGTGGTGCCTTTGTGTTGTCATACTCCCCTCTGTGTTGTGGTGCCTTTGTGTTGTCATACTCCCCTCTGTGTTGTGGTGTTTCCTTTGTGTTGTCATACTCCCCTCTGTGTTGTGTTTCCTTTGTGTTGTCATACTTCCCTCTGTGTTGTGGTGTTTCCTTTGTGTTGACATACTCCCCTCTGTGTTGTGGTGTTTCCTTTGTGTTGACATACTCCCCTCTGTGTTGTGTTTCCTTTGTGTTGTCATACTCCCCTCTGTGTTGTGGTGTTTCCTTTGTGTTGACATACTCCCCTCTGTGTTGTGGTGCCTTTGTGTTGTCACACTCCCCTCTGTGTTGTGGTGTTTCCTTTGTGTTGTCATACTCCCCTCTGTGTTGTGGTGTTTCCTTTGTGTTGTCATACTCCACTCTGTGTTGTGGTGTTTCCTTTGTGTTGTCATACTCCCCTCTGTGTTGTGGTGTTTCCTTTGTGTTGTCATACTCCCCTCTGTGTTGTGGTGTTTCCTTTGTGTTGACATACTCCCCTCTGTGTTGTGGTGTTTCCTTTGTGTTGTCATACTCCCCTCTGTGTTGTGGTGTTTCCTTTGTGTTGTCATACTCCCCTCTGTGTTGTGGTACTTCCTTTGTGTTGTCATACTCCCCTCTGTGTTGTGGTGCCTTTGTGTTGTCATACTCCCCTCTGTGTTGTGGTACTTCCTTTGTGTTGTCATACTCCCCTCTGTGTTGTGGTACTTCCTTTGTGTTGGCATACTCCCCTCTGTGTTGTGGTGCTTGCTTTGTGTTGACATACTCCCCTCTGTGTTGTGGTACTTCCTTTGTGTTGTCATACTCCCCTCTGTGTTGTGGTGTTTCCTTTGTGTTGACATACTCCCCTCTGTGTTGTGGTACTTCCTTTGTGTTGTCATACTCCCCTCTGTGTTGTGGTGTTTCCTTTGTGTTGACATACTCCCCTCTGTGTTGTGGTACTTCCTTTGTGTTGTCATACTCCCCTCTGTGTTGTGGTGTTTCCTTTGTGTTGACATACTCCCCTCTGTGTTGTGGTGTTTCCTTTGTGTTGTCATACTCCCCTCTGTGTTGTGGTGCTTCCTTTGTGTTGGCATACTCCACTCTGTGTTGTGGTGTTTCCTTTGTGTTGTCATACTTCCCTCTGTGTTGTGGTGTTTCCTTTGTGTTGACATACTCCCCTCTGTGTTGTGGTGTTTCCTTTGTGTTGTCATACTCCCCTCTGTGTTGTGGTGTTTCCTTTGTGTTGACATACTCCCCTCTGTGTTGTGGTGTTTCCTTTGTGTTGTCATACTCCCCTCTGTGTTGTGTTTCCTTTGTGTTGGCATACTCCCCTGTGTTGTGGTGTTTCCTTTGTGTTGTCATACTCCCCTCTGTGTTGTGGTACTTCCTTTGTGTTGACATACTCCCCTCTGTGTTGTGGTGTTTCCTTTGTGTTGGCATACTCCACTCTGTGTTGTGGTGTTTCCTTTGTGTTGTCATACTTCCCTCTGTGTTGTGGTGTTTCCTTTGTGTTGTCATACTCCCCTCTGTGTTGTGGTGTTTCCTTTGTGTTGTCATACTCCCCTCTGTGTTGTGGTGTTTCCTTTGTGTTGTCATACTCCCCTCTGTGTTGTGGTGTTTCCTTTGTGTTGTCATACTCCCCTCTGTGTTGTGGTGTTTCCTTTGTGTTGTCATACTCCCCTCTGTGTTGTGGTGTTTCCTTTGTGTTGTCATACTCCCCTCTGTGTTGTGGTGTTTCCAATGTGTTGTCATACTCCCCTCTGTGTTGTGGTGTTTCCTTTGTGTTGTCATACTCCCCTCTGTGTTGTGGTGTTTCCTTTGTGTTGTCATACTCCCCTCTGTGTTGTGGTGTTTCCTTTGTGTTGTCATACTCCCCTCTGTGTTGTGGTGTTTCCTTTGTGTTGTCATACTCCCCTCTGTGTTGTGGTACTTCCTTTGTGTTGTCATACTCCCCTCTGTGTTGTGGTGCCTTTGTGTTGTCATACTCCCCTCTGTGTTGTGGTACTTCCTTTGTGTTGTCATACTCCCCTCTGTGTTGTGGTACTTCCTTTGTGTTGGCATACTCCCCTCTGTGTTGTGGTGCTTCCTTTGTGTTGTCATACTCCCCTCTGTGTTGTGGTACTTCCTTTGTGTTGTCATACTCCCCTCTGTGTTGTGGTGTTTCCTTTGTGTTGTCATACTCCCCTCTGTGTTGTGGTACTTCCTTTGTGTTGTCATACTCCCCTCTGTGTTGTGGTGTTTCCTTTGTGTTGACATACTCCCCTCTGTGTTGTGGTACTTCCTTTGTGTTGTCATACTCCCCTCTGTGTTGTGGTGTTTCCTTTGTGTTGACATACTCCCCTCTGTGTTGTGGTGTTTCCTTTGTGTTGTCATACTCCCCTCTGTGTTGTGGTGCTTCCTTTGTGTTGGCATACTCCACTCTGTGTTGTGGTGTTTCCTTTGTGTTGTCATACTTCCCTCTGTGTTGTGGTGTTTCCTTTGTGTTGACATACTCCCCTCTGTGTTGTGGTGTTTCCTTTGTGTTGTCATACTCCCCTCTG